AAGTAGGATTGCCCAACCTTCCTTCCGAGGAGTGGCTTCTAAGTACTTGAAGAGTTGAATTCATCATTCTTATGAAAAAAGATGTGTATTTCTTAGATTCCATTATAGTGTTTTTATTACTCCTGTTGCCTAAACATTCTGCAGTTTGTATATTCTTTGACTAAACTTTAGTTTAAGAAGTTTTAGTTTAATTTTTTCTTTTTCATTTATAAATGAAAAAGCCTTTTGATTTTCTGATCATTTGGTCAGCAAACAACAATGAGCTTGAGTGTGTAGTCTTTTAGAAATATTCGTTAGCAAGCAAAGTGAATTGGCACTCAGCATCTATTTTCGTCTCTTTCTAAAGTGCTCCTGTACTATAAAGGTTGGAAAGCTAAAAACTACATTTGACAGCCTCTTTGGGGCTAGGGTCCTGGATATAAATTAGCTTTCATTAACATAGGTAGAGGAGCTCTGGTAGTGTAGTGCTTAAGGCATTTGACTGCTAACAAGAAGGCTGGTGGTTCAGACCCACCAGCCACTCCTTGGAAGGAAGGTTGGACAATCTACTTCCGCAGTAATACCGCTTCGGAAACCCAAGGATGGGTTGCTATGAGTCGGATACAACTCGATGGCAGTGGGTTTGGTTTGGTATTTTAGAACATAGGTAGAGTGGTAACTTTCCTACAACTGAACTCAGAGTGATATATTGACACTTTAGAATGCTTCATGCTAGCATATCTTCATGCTATATTTGTTTTATATACTATACGGTTGTTTACCTAACTAAATAGATTTATATATTACTTAGCTTTTCTCTTTTTTCCTTTAAAGCTATTGCAGCTAATTGCAAAATCCCAATTAACTTCATTGAGTGGTGTGGCACAAAAGAATTACTTTAATATTTTGGATAAAATCGTTCAAAAAGGTAAGATTATCACTGATGTTTTTAATAATATGAATCTTAATTAGAAATTTGGTGCAAGAATATGGGATTTTTTTTCATTTCATTTTCTCCCCAGTATGTATGCTTTCAAAATCAATAATGTTAAGTAATAGGATAGTATTAGATAGGAATACAAATTGGTCCCTCTAGTTCTTAATGTTCTATGTTACCAAAGTGTATCTTTATAAAAATTTGCTTCTGCATACAAATGACTGTATTATGTAAGAAAGATAATTCAGTCTCTGAGTTTTAAAAAGATACTTTACCTTTTAATGGCTAGCCAATCACTGTTCATTTTAGGTGTGTAATATTTGCATAATTAGCAAAGCTGTGATATATTCACTTAGGCATCAAATAAGCCAATAATTTCTTTAATGAGTTGTAATTTGATTAATTAGTAGTTATTAATAAGCAAAACTTTCAATGTCACACCAAGAATTTATGCATATATAGTAATGTAAGACATATATACATATATATATATTCCATTTTTAATATTACTCTCTTTTTGATAAATATAAAAGAAATTAAAACTGGTAATTTTAAAGGCATATATTTGACCCAACTGAATATATACATTTTTTACTTTTTTTAAAATCTCATAATACTTGAGATATTTCAAAAATTGTGCTATTTTTGAGTTGCAGTGAAATTAGATAATTTTAATAAGGGATTGTTAACTTCAACTCTCAATCCATAGCTTTTTCTTTATTTCAGTTCTCAGTGACCATCAAAATCCTCGCCTAATAAAAGACCTTCTACAGGACCTAAGCTCTACACTTTGTATTCTTATTAGAGGAGTTGGGAAGTCTGTATTGGTGGGAAATATCAATATTTGGATTTGCCGATTAGAAACTATCCTCACCTGGCAGCAACAGCTGCAAAATCTTCAGATGACAAAGGTATTAATTTTTTGACCTAAAAATTATTACACTCTATTTTTATCACTAGGAGCTCTGGTAGCATAGTGCCCAAGGCACTTGACTGCTAACCAGAAGGCTGGCGGTTCAA